TTCCTAATGACTTGTACTTAGTGTAAAGATCGAATTTTGATCCCACTTCTTTATAAATAAAAATATGCCTTTTACAAAGTCTCATTAAACATGGCGAATTCTTCTCATCATCATAGTGATTTACATTTTTGACAAGCATATCTCAAACACCATAATACACACGAAACTGCGCGCACTGATGAAATTCTGTTACCTACATAGTACGGAACCAGACAAAGATTGTGCACTTCAAACTTTGTCATTGATACAAAAGCAAGATCTGTCAAATAACAGCACACCAGGTCATTATTATTTAGCATATGGCAGCTATTTTTCCTTGGATAACAGCAAGTTTTAACCCTCGGCGTGCATGCCCCAGAGGGTTATGGTACTTGGTTTGTTTGTCTGTCTGTCTGTCTGTCTGCTCTGCTCTGCTTAGTCTCACATCTCGTGCTATGACATGCACAACACAGGACACTGGATTATCAATAAAAGTTGTTTTCTCTAAACCACTTACTAAAATTTAGGAAGTGTTTTGTATACCACAGCCTAGTCCACCATTTTGTGTATGCAGGACTGACACGCTCATGTGTTTTCGTGACACAATGCACATAAGCCTGTGCCGTCATTAGTGGATTAAAATTTCAACATACGCAATTTATACATTATCCTCACAATTTACTTATGGCACATACAGCAAACTTTTGACTGGTAGGCTTAGTAACACATATGGTTAGACTCGGAAGAGCACGAGCATTCCATTGCTGCTGAATTTCGGAAATATGACGAAAAATTGGCAAGTGATTGCGGGTCCAGGTGAAGTCAAATATACTTTAGTGATCAGTCACCCAGTCACTATCTGAAAGTCCTAGAAAATCTTTCCAATTCCCTTCTTATGTCATTTTGTGCATATAACCGGGGCTCATTTTCTTCTTAGTGACATAAGAAGGGGAATTGTCATCTAGGAGAAGTGGTCCTTAGGCCTGGGCTCAACTCCTTACAAAAGCTAATTTTCTCTATTGTACATCATAAGTTAGTAAAATTACAGGTAAAGATGGGAAAGTCCTTGTTTATGTACCTTAGTTTCTGTAACAGAACAATTTGGAGTTGCATCCTACAATGCCAACTGAATAGTTACTTCTATGTTTCCATCCATGTATGTAATAACAGAACTGTGCTAATGTTTCTCTGCAGTCATTCGTGTTTTTTGCTACGCACTACCAGGAGTTGAACAACTTGGAGCTATTGTATCCAACAGTTAGAAGGTATAATGCTGTCTGAATATTGCTCAAAGGCATATCTTCTGTGTATGCAAGAAGTCAGTGATATTAGATCGCATACGGCGCTCTATATTTGGATGTATGGCACAGCGGAAATCTCACGTAATCCAGGTGTAAAATGCCTCAGAACTCGGCGAGAATGACTCGATATGCCTTCAAAACTACATAGCAATAGAGTATGTGCCAATATCTAGCTATACATATGCCTAAACACGTTATTTGTGCCCCCAGTTCTCCACTCAAGAATTCATTCACGTACCGTATTTACTTTCGGGTCATCATCATGTTCTTCGTCTTCTTCAAATCTGCTGTCCACTTACCACCACTATTGTATACCATAAAGCTTTGTGATTTGGTTCCCTTTATCTTTGACATGGCTGCCACTTTAGGCTTTCAACAACTAATACATATATCTTTGACTGTAAAAAAACCAGTCCATGCCCCTGACTTATATCACTATTTGAAATGTTCGCCAAAGGACAGGTTTCGTAATACTGGCATGGTCTAAACCCACACCTTGTATCGCGTAACAAGCGTGATAAATGTGTTAGCTAAAAACTCACAACCTGTTTAGCAAAGCTAGTTGCTGCTGGACTTTCCCCCGCACAAGCTGAACAACAAGTGCGTCTATTTAAGTGCATACATCTTGTCTGTTGAAATCAACGCAAATTAGAACCATAGGGCCCTTTCTATAGGGACCTGAATGCAAGTATAATGTATCCTTCACAATTGGGATGGTACTCACTGAAATGGCTAAAATTAGTAGACGTGACTATAAGATATTCTCTTTTTCGAACAACTGTGCTACACATCTGTGTTTGCAAATATACAGCTGTTCAATTTTCATGCCAGACAGTAAGCATTTTAGTAGCATGTTTAAACTTTTTATGTATGCGCTAGACTACCTCCATCTCCACGACGTTTGCGCAGTGAGGGTTGCACAGTACTACTGGTACTAGTGTATTACGTATGGCAGGTAAATCATTTTCTTTATACTGCTCTCAAGAGTGTTATATAGCGTGTTTTGTTCGCATTGAATGAGTCCGTCATTATGTTGTTCACGTCTACGTACTCGCACACGCACACACACGTGTGATTAGGCGCGACCCTTCACCATGAAATAACTTGTTGCAAGCAGAACCTCTTTACTCCACACTACTTCGGTAATATCGCTGCAGGGGGTTGCTATCTGCATTATTGCATAGCTGTCGCTGCAGGAAAATTTTTCTGCGCTGTTTGTTTTGCACTTTAGTTCTTTTCTGAATGCTACTTTTAACTAATTTTATCTTTTTCAGCTATCATTTTAACAACAAGGTACGTACGTACGTATCTGTTTTGTAATAAGTATGACGCATGTAGACATGTTACTTGTGTAGATAAGGTTAATTGCTAGTTCGTAAAAACTTTATACAGATAATACTGTTGAATGCCAATTACAAAGTATATACAATAGTACTTTATGGGGAAGACGCAGATTACCCAACATCATGCCAATCCATACATTTGCGAAAGGCACCTTTTACTTTGTGTTCAATTAGATTCCTATTCAAACGTACGTAGCAGTCTGATCTGTATTGTGAAAATAAGCGTGTACCTAAGAGAAGGGTTCGGTCGGATGATCAGTTCAAACCTCGGTATGCATGCGCAACGAGGGTTATTGTACTTGGTTTGTAAGTGTGTGTGTGTGCATGTCCGTCTGTCTGTTACCACATTTTATACAGCCTCGTGCAACAAGGAGTGAAGCCAACAAGTTCAGTCCTACACTGGCTTCATTTTTGTAAAAATGTTGCGTTTAAAGTTACAAAACTAAGTATTACTACTTGCTCACTTCGACCGTATTCTGCCTGTTTGCATACCGTGGAGGCATCAGAAGTTACAACAGTGCTCGAGTGTCAATATAGGGATTGTGTGATGGGGTCAGGTGTCATCGTGCTAGAATCTGCTCATTAACCATGCTTCGTGTATCCCATCCCTTGCTTGTCTCCCTTTTTCATACCATCCCTACATGCTCAGAAAATTTTAATTTACTTTACTCCACTTCGTCATGGAAATGATGTAATACAGATGCGTGCTACTGTTGGCATGTTTGAGGAGTGAAGAAGTAAGCTATTTGTTGCGGTAAAACAATATGTGGCTGTCATTGAAACGATGTAATATGCATGAAATTGTAGTTCATAGCATACCAGCCATAGGTAGATAAATAAATACATAAAACCACCACCCACATATATCCACAAATCCCAAAGTATCCATACAAAACACATACACAAATACAGATGACATGACATGAGAGCAGGACACTGGGTGCCCAGCCTTGAGAACTGGGGCGGTGGGTTAAAGAGTCTTTTATGACTAGCCAACTCTCCCCACACATCCAGCATCCAAACTTCACAATGACAGCCACACAGTGAGTAACTGTACGATAGCACAGTCACGTCAACACATGTAGAGTATGATACATATAAATATATACAAAAGTGGTAGAAAAATGAAATTAGTAGCATTGTAGAAAAATTGAATCTAGCTTACTTACTGGAGTGGTAAAAACAAGGTAGAATGACTCACTGGTAGAATGGTAGAAAAAATATAGAATCACTTACTTGTAGCGGTAAAAACATGGTAGAAAAATAGAGTCTGGAATAAAACGACTTGCTTACTTACGCAGTAAAAACGTGGTGCACTTTTGTGGTTCCTATTAGTGCCGCCCCACATAATGTACATAGTAAATTAAGCAGTAGTCAACGTGAACCTTATGTCTGACAACTGTGTGTGTACAAAACATCTAGCTACCACAGTGGCGGATCTAGGCTTGTTCGTTGAGTTCCAACGAACCACATTTTTTGCCGGGCCGGGTGCATCACGCCCCTCCTCTCTGCCCACACATACGTAACGTATATACACGCATCCGTCGCTGCTTGCTTTGTGTGCGTGAGCCACGGCATACACGAGGCACGGTCATGTTCTCCAACATGCTCCATTTGCTGCACGAGCGCGCAGTTTATCGTGTTCCCTTACTGAGTGTGGATGCGTGAATGCGTTCGTAATCATGGCATGAAAAGGCACTGGATTTTGTGACTGCGCATGCACGTGCTGAGCTAGGGGCGTGACTTCCCAGCGCACCGATTCGAACTACCCTTTGCTATTTTCTGCATCCGCCCCTGTAACAATCATTTTCTATGTGTTGAGACATGGCGGCCCAGGAATCCATCATATCTAAATCCTTGCTTTATTAATAATTTTGTGTCAGTTAATGTTGCTCACAAAATTGTTCGTAACCACTGCATATTCTACCTATACATACAAGTTGGGAAACATATACACCATATATAAGCTGGTTTAGATGGGATGTTAGAACTCATATTTGGAAAATTTACGATGTCAAAGTGAAACTATCCCTCTTATCATACAACATTCCCCATGTTCTAAGTAGGAAAGTGTAGTTGGGCTCTCCGTAGTTTTCTTGAGCTGAAGCTCAGAAGGATATATGTCCTGTATGGCGTATAAGAAGGTCATCATTGTACCTCATTGTATTATTAGACCTCCTAGCCATGAATATAATATCGTTCTTTATCAAGATTTTCATGTACCTGTACTCGTAAAAGAACAGGAACAGATTGGCCAATAATGGAGCACAATGGAGCACAATCAGTGCCCATAGGGATGCCCACACTCAGGCTCTGTCTAGCAGATGGCACATCTGACCACACCCCCTTGCCATTGCTACGTACTACAAGAAGGACGTTGTCTCTAACTTCAAATATTTCAAGGCTTGTTTCAGGGAGTCATGCGGAATACTAGTAGAAAAAACCGTAACTCACAATGTTTCGCTGAAGAAAAATAATTAATATTCTTTAATGTACTAGCACCTGCTGTGAGTTTTCTATCACACAGAAGCAATTCACACCTGTTCTCAGTGGTTAATGATTGTATTTAGGCAACTTGTAAGCAGTTTTGAAAGAGGCTTAGTAGTACACCTATAAGACGCAGCTATAAACCTGTTACCGTAAGGCTGCTTATGTAATTTCGGTAACCAGTAAAACGATGGCAAGCATTCAAGCTCAGGCTTCACTACAATGTGATTGTTTCTCATAAAGTGTAGGTGTTCCGTAATTATATCATCTTTATCCGTGATAGCAGGCTCATATGTGGTAGTAGCCGATCACTCTTGTCACCACCTCCAAGTAATACTTCTTACACACTACAATGACATTATTGGCAGCTTTGTCAGCCGGAACAAATACATACCCGCTATGTAACACTTTGAGGACCACAATGCTTCTTTGATTTAAGGACATGCTTTTTTCTTTTGTTGATATGTTTACTTTTAAGCGACGCAATTTTCCGTTGAACACATTCATTAAGCTTATGCTCCCACTCATTATGCTCGGATATCATCACCTTCTCTATATTCCGCTACAGCTTCCCTACATAACCTCTCATTTGTAGTCCAATCCATGCAATCATGCTCTCTCTATGATGGTCGGTCCTTTCATGTTTCATCTCCATGTGTGCAATTTGAGGACTGAAGAAGTAGTTTTGAAGAAAAGTGCCTGAGGCTATTTGTTGTTGTAATGAAATTATTGGCAAGCGGGAGCGAGCCAACCTAGTTGTTTGTTCGAGTGGATTTTTCTATATATATATATGTGTCCGTCCGTCGTACTTTGTGTAAGTGCGCATGTGTGGCGTTGTTACGCGCTTCTTATTATCCGAAATCATTTCCAAATTTTTGCACATTTCACACACGCGTCTCGATATGCGCTGATCGATCTAGCCACCAAGAGAACTCTCCTCCATTCGACGGCATTCGCTGCAAACTTCGGTGACTGACCGAGGCTGAACCTCTTCCCAATCTTCATGGTTCGCATGAACTTGGAAATAAGCTAGGTTTGCTCGTGCAGATGCTGCTGCATGCCAGCTGCCTGGTGGACCACGGCAGACGAGCTGAAAGCGTAAGGTAAGTACCGTTCTGCTCACCTGCTCACCATTCTGCCAATATACAGTACGCATGTAACGGCGACAGGTAGATCTGTCTTGCTTCGCGAAAGGAAAGCTTTCGCTGACGGCACGCTATGCAGCCCGAACATCGCGGGCAAATCCCAAGTTGGGTCGCTCCCACTCGCCAACAATATTCAACATTGCCACTAGTATAAAACATGCGTACCAAGTTGCATCTACATGCATTCTACATAATAGTTAGATGCTGATTCGAGGTAACTATGCGCAGTAGAAAGCCGAGAGCCCTGGCATTGTGGCGCCCCGAGTGCAGCAAGGGCGCTACCCCCGGGGCACGAAGCTTTCTACCGACGCATGGTTACCGAGGAATCAGCGTCTAACTATTTTAGAGTGAGCGCTTCACGTTGAGTGCTCTCGCTTTCCTGTTCGTTCGTATGGCGGAGTGCTTCTAACGAAGACTCGATGGAGACAGGCTCAGAGCCAGAAAATGCAGTGCAAGAAGAGCGAAGCGGGAGAGACACGCGGCAACGACTCTGCCTTCTTTATCTGGTTGTGCGCGTGGACGACGCGTAAATGTAGATTGAGTTGTTTATCTTGTTGCTTACGTGTACATTGTGTTATGGTTTCTTGTTATATGTAGGTTTTGTAGTTTCTGTAGTAAACCCCGTCGAGGTTTACTACAGGATTTAGTAAACCTCGCCTTTGCAATCTGATTGGTCAATTTGAACCTAGCTCACTCTAACTTTGATGAGTGAAAAAGTTCCTTAGGCTCTAATGTTGTTGTTCAAGCAAGAAGTGGTCGCTAGGGAATGATGTAATAGGCATCCGTACCAAGTTTCATCTCCATGCATGCTACCATAAGCAAGTTTGAGAGGTTTTTTAAAGAAAGGTGCCTAAGGCTATTTGTTGTTCAAGGAATCTGTGGTTGTCATGGAAAGGATGTAATGTGTGTGTACCAAGAGTCATCTCGGTGCTAGCAAGCTTGGGGAGTGTGTGTCTGAGGCTGTTTGTTGTAGTTTACAAACATGTAGTTACCATGGAAACATGTATTTGTCATGGAAATGTGTACCAAGTTTCACCTTTATGGTCGCTACCAATAGAGAAGTGATGAAGTAAACTAAATGTGCTACAGTGCTCCAGGCTAAGACAGTACAAAGTGTACTTTTTTCAGGTCAATTTTCTGGTGCATGCTGAACATCAGTCAAACATGTGACATATCAAAATAATCCCCAATCTTTGACGATTAATTTGCCCGCAGTGATAAGACGTCACATGGCTGTCAGGTGACAGTAATGGCTGATGAAGCGACGAGGTTTGGATACATACTTTAGGCACAGGATTTCCACAAAGAAGCTAGTTAATACCATGCACAACGCTCTTACCGCGTACTTCATATATTTATGCACATGCGGTATATCTAGCCAGCGCGTACTACATATACAAGTAAATTAAAAATCCTGCGAATTTAAAAAAAGAGGCATATAGGGATGGTATAAAAAGAAAGGGAGACAAGATAGGGATTGGATACATCAAGCATGGTTAATGAACAGATTTGAGTACGCTGACACCCCCAACCCCATCACACCATCCCTATATTGTTGCCTGGTGTGCTACTCTTAAAGGTTACTAAAAGCAAGCGTTCTTTCACCGTGTCCTTGTTGTTTTTAGTAACATTTATACTGCCACATTCCTTTTAATGAAACTGCTATAAGGGTGTTGATTACTCAGTGTAGTGCATTGTAAGTTCTGAGTATTGTAATGGTGAATGTTTAATACTTCACCAAGGCAACAATATAGGGATGGTGTGATGGGGTTAGGGGTGTCAGCGTACTCAAATCTGTTCATTAACCATGCTTGTCTCTCTTTCTTTTTATATGCCTCTTTTTTTAAATTCGCAGGATTTTTAATTTACTTGTCTCCACTCATTTTTATATACTGCTACGTGTGGAATGGGGCAAGCCCATTTAAAAATAAAAATTAATAATAGAGAAAAAATGCCTGTTGTCGTGATGGAAATGATATGCATACCATGTTTCACCTCCATGTGTGCTGGTTGGAGGAGTGAAGAAGTAATTTTAAAGAAAAGTAGCTATTTGTTGTTGTGGTCGTCATGGAAACCATGTTACACACATGCGTACCAAGTTTCATCTCCATGCGTGGTACCATTAGCGAGTTTGAGGAGTGAAGAAGTAATTTTGAAGAAAAGTGCCTCAGGCTATTTTGTTCTTGGGTCGTAATGGAAACGATGTAATACACATGCGTACCAAGTTTCACCTCCATGCGTGCTACAGTTAGCATATGTGATAGGCTCTGAGAAAACGACCCTTATCACGCACGTAGTATTGTTGTAGTAGCGGCGGTTTTACGGCGAACTACATAATTCACCGATTCCTGCTTTTCCCCGTATTCTAGTACCTCTGTCTATCGTCCATAACCTGCGCAAGTTTGACGCACTAACTCCGTTCCGTTCCGTAGTTATGGCCCTGGGTACCAGGCAAGTACCGTTACTCGTGCCGTCGTAACGCGGAATTACAAGTAAACGTAACACGGGAATAATCAAACCTTTTACGGGGTCACGTAAACAGGAATTCCCCTTTACTACGTTTACCTAACGGCGTACAATGAATGCAGCCGGATGCGCGCGCGCGCGTAATGTTGTAAGACGGACTTGTTACGAGAAGACGGAGGTTGAAATTTGACACCGGAAGTTCACCTTCAGACGCCATTTTTCACGTTAGATGCAGCGGAATGGCACTTGCGCTTGTGCTCATAACTTCGCAACGGAACGGGCTACGCCCCTGAAACAAACGGCAAACTATAGAGTATTTATAGGACCTTCGGTCTAGCATACAAACGTATTTTGCGGTTTTTGCGTCATAAGGGTAGTTTTCTCAGAGCCTGTCACATATTTTGAGGAGTGAAGAAGTAATTTTAAAGAAAAGTGCCTGAGGCTATTTGTTGTTGTGGACGTTATGGAAACGATGTAATACACATGCGTACCAAGTTCCATCTCCATGCGTGCTACAGTTAGCATATTTTGAGGAGTGAAGAAGTAATTTTAAAGAAAATTGCCTGAGGCTATTTGTTGTTGTGGTCGTCATGGAAACGATCTAATACACATGCGCACCAAGTTTTATCTCCATGCGTGGTACCGTTAGTACGATGATGACGACAATGAACAGTCCCAGCGAGAGACAGAGATGAATGATGCATTGTACACAAGTCTGTTCTGTGGTGGAAATCTGGTGTGATGATGATCTCTATAATTATACAGACAGTGTGGCTAGTGACCCACCAGACAAAGAGACACTCGAGGAGACACTTGGGGAGGGAGAGAGAGGAGAAGAAAAGTCTGCATTTGGTTTCATATCTCCCAAACCTGAACCCAGTCAACAGTCTGGGTTTTCATTCATAAACTCATCCGACGCTGACCATGTAGAAGGAGGAGGGATAGAGGAGGCCAAACATTCCCCAGAAGGTTCCCTGACTTTTCACCTGAAATAGATGTAAAACACTCAAGTCATTACATACACACAGACGCATACATACAATGCCTATATATCTATATTTTAGGTGCTGAAATGAGATCGATTTTCCATGATCCTGAAATTCCTCCATCTCAATGACAACTTCTGCTACATCCCTGAAGGGCAACCGGGTCACGATCCTCTGTATAAGCTTCGACCCCTGCTAGATCCCCTCATTGTCAACTTCCAAGCTTCCTACACCCTTCACAGGGAGTTGTCGCTCGATGAGGCAAGGTGGGTTTCAAGGGGCGGCTGTTTTTCATACAGTACCTACCCAAAAAGGCCAACCAAGTGGGGCATGAAGGCCTATGTCTTAGCTGACAGCTGTACGGGATACGTATACAACTGGAGGCTGTACACAGGTAAGTCATGAATACAACATAACAAGGTATATACATAGTGACAGCTATACACCACTGACTTAGGGAAAGATAAATCATTGGATGTGGGAGAGCGCAACCACTCGCATGCAATTGTTGTGGTATTGCTGAAAGGCCTGGAGGGCAGAGGTCACCATGTGTACACGGAAAACTACTACAGTGGTCATGCTCTCTTCTCCGAACTACATGACCTTGGATTTGGGGCATGTGGAACTGTCCGAGTCAATCGTCGCGGGCTGCCACCTGAGATGAAGACAACACTGGCAAAGGGAGATACCATTTCAGCGCAGGTGGACGACTCTGATGGCTCTCAAGTGGATGGACAAAAGGCCAGTGTCAATGCTCAGCACCATCCACGACAACTCCATGACAACAAAGGTTCGCCGCACATGTCGGGCTGTGGGAGGGCAAGAAGTCAGAAAACCAGTTGTTGTGGAGCAGTACAACAAGTACATGGTCTATTGTTACATGTGTATGCGCTGGCAGGATATGGGTGCTTGCTGGCTTCATTGCCGCGGCCCAATCCACTATGTCAGCATGCTGAATTCGGGTTTGGCTCGTTACTGGCAACGCCTTGTGGGGATGAATCTCATTAGTTCGAAACCACAAGTGCTGCGCTCAACTTTGCCTTTATAAACTCGTGATGCCAGAGAGAGAAGTTGCGGTATGCTTTGCTGATGAGGGCTAACAAACCCGAAACAGCTGTCCAGAGCTCCACATCTTTTTTTCTCTTGGCATCACATGGTCTATTGTTACATGGGTGGAGTGGACCGCTCCGACCAGCTCCTTTCCTACTATGGCAGGACAGTGATGTGGTGGAAAAGGGCAGCTTTCCACTTGATTGACATGGGAATTGTCAATGCATACATCATGCACACATCATCTGCGACGACGGGCAAGAAGCTTACCCATGAGCAGTTTCGTATCGAGCTTGCAAAGGAGCTGCTCCTTCAAGCCTCAGTGGATGTCTCAGAGAGCACGCCAGTCAGCCAAGGACAAATTCAACGTCCACTTCCTCCCCAGGCCCAACACCACTTCCCAGATCATCTTCAGTCTACACCATGTGGAAAGAAGGCACAAACAGACCGTGTAGTTTGCAGCAAAAAAAAACGGGGACACGGACGCAAAGCAACAACGTACATGTGCAAGGAGTGCCAGCTACCTATGTGCCCTATACCATGCTTTGAACTTTACCACACGAAAGTAGATCCCCAGAGGTACCTATAATTGTGTTATTATACATCCAACAAACGCACCTTCTTATCACCTTTGCCTTCCATTCATCCTTCACTTTAGTGTAAAATAGTCCTAGAGATAATAAACATACAGCCTGAACTCAGCATGAGTGAACTAAAGAACGATAAAAATAGGTTATAACTTACTTTTTCCGTCAAAACGGTCTTGTCATCTCGTAAACAACACGAGAACGCGGTAAACACTCGAGTATCCAGCGTGGGGGGACTCAAACGTCTTCCTGCAGCAGCTGATACTTTGTACTGTCCTTCTTCAGTCATCTGGAGCCATCTTGGTAGAGCCAACACGCTGTTTCTTGAGCGCACACTTTCACACGCGAGCACGGTAAAAACGTAACTAGCTGTTTTGTGGCATAAAGTTAGGTTGAATGATTCACAGTTAAGGATGATTCAGATTTCCAGTTTAAGGGTTTGTCCAGCTACTTTGACATGAAGGACACAATTTGTGGCACAATTGAAGGTCGCAGAAACACCACAAGTTGTATTATTCGGCAGAGTAGTAGGCTTAGCTCGGTCACTTGTTGGTTCCATATCAGGACCTCCAGACACTAAACTCTAAAAACTTGAATCCTCCTTTGGTGTGGAAAGGATGCTTGGCCATATGCTGCGTGATTGTTGTTCGCTCATAGATACGAAGATCTTGCACGGAATGGTGTCCGATTCGCTCTTGAAAAGTCTTCTCCGGTACTCCAGCTTGGAACATGTCTGAAACTCCTGTCACTCAAAGGCTGTGGTTGGTCTTCCCGGATACACCTATCATAGCGAGCATAGACTTCACCATTCCTGCAAGCTTATTCTCGCCACAAAGCTTGGCAGCATACCATGGCTTGGATGGTGCTAAGACAACATTGTCCTTTAATTGCTTCATTCAGAACCAATCTTTCTGAAATGCAACTGATAGCAACTTGCTGAAGTATACTAAAATGGCGCCTCAGGATATGGAACCACAGGAACAACTTTATTTTCGACCCGAATTTGATTTAAACCACTGCTTCTATTTTTCTTACCATTTTCTGTGTATACATAGTGAGGAGGATCATGATGAAGAACAATCTGGGAAAGCTTAAGAGCTCTATGCTCCCTCAGGCAGAGGCTTTTGCCGTAATAGTAGAACACAGCATGAAGTAAAGCTTGAGGAGAGTCAATGCCTAAAACACCTTCTACCCAGAGCTTGCTCTCTCCATCCTTACTATAACACTGGTATGTTTCACCTCCGCCCCAACGCCTAACTCGCGTAGTTAGCGACAATACCGATAATCGAGTGCATTTCGTGCAACTGGGAGTCCTTCGGAAGTTGGGACACTCCGCACGGCTTCGACAAAGTAGCCACGAAAGAAGACAGATGATCGTCAAGGCAGGATATCAAGCCACAACATGTATTTCGCATCTCACGAGCAAACCATGGTAGCCATGACGCCATCGCTTGCGGCAGCTCGAGCAGATTCAACGAACATGGAGCGTCGGAATGTGCGCGAGTACGAGTCTCCAGCCACACCAGGAAGTTATTGTAAGCCCAATAGTTGTTTTTCTTCGTGTTCTTCTGGAGATATTAAAGATATTTCAAGGTAAGTCTGATCGTTACTGAATTCGAAACGCGACTCGGATCGTTCCGCTAGGTTTTCAAAACTAGGCATTTACTTGGAGAAGGGGCATTAGTTCTTTTTTCCTGAGGGAGAGTGATAGGACCCAATTTTCCTTCTTGTTCTTGAATGCCGAGTCATCAACAAAAGTCATCCATTCCCAAATCATAGATACCGCCAGGGAACTGGCTTATCTTGATCTAGTCCTCAAAACAGAGAAGGCTGCACAGCCTCCGTGTTTCTATCTGCAGCCTCCATAGTGCCAAGCGCGATGAGTTTGCTATCTGTAGCTGCCAGCAGGGACGACTGTTTGAATTGCTGGCGCATTCTAGCCACGTGAGAGAAGTCATCATACAACATGTACTATGGGTTTGCTTGTGGTCAACTGGTTACATACTCGTGGCTTCAGTTTTGATAGACCACGCCCTCGTGGCCTATCAAAACTAGTCGCTTGGCTTATCACTGAAGTCTTATGAAGTTGATCATGAAACACTTTAGCTTTGTCTCTCTAAATAGTTCATAGTTAGTTTGGATGCCTCAACCCGTTCTCGAATTGTCGTATTTACAGCTGTTCAGTTGCTGAAAACAACAGATGTGAGAGAAATGCATTTGGAAGTTTTCCGGGTAACCTCCAGCCTTAGCTGCATATTCATCTCTGCCTTCCCTGTTTCTTTGGGCGAGGACATCGCATGGAACATTTGCTAAGCTGATGTGCAAACTGTTAGACTTAAGGCTCATTTATTTGAGACTGAAATAAGTGTACTGGCTTTGGGGTAAAACGTATCAATTGAGACGCACCCATCAGTAACTCCTAACAGGAAGAATAGCCCTGCCAATGGTTTATAAGCAAAGGTTTGTGCAGTATGCTCATAAACCGCTTATTGGCTTCACTGCTAAAGAGAGTTGAAGGCCTTTGAACTGGTAGGCAGATTGTGTCCAGCCAGACTAAACTGTGTGTGAAATCTGTCATAGTGACGGCATAAATAAGCTCAATGGAGCCTCACGAATCTTTTTCATCCACCAAACAAATACAGACACACATTTGTTCTTTGAAGCTCACTTCATTTATTCATTTGTAAGCAAAGCAAACATATTTGTTGCATCCAAAATAGCTTTTAGTACCTGATTAGCAGCAAGACACATTTGTTCATAAATAATATAATATGGGACACATAAATGCCATTCTCTAAATATTGCTTCAATCATGGGACCTTCACTAAAGAAGCTGTACAAGGCTTCAGTGGTAGTATGTTCTGCCTGACTGCTATCCAAGAAAGAAAAAAGGTGTCTTTAGCTAAAGCAAAGTCAGCTTACCTCGAGCCTGTACTGTCAGTTATCCTCCTACTAGGGCTTTGATTAGCAGCAAAGTCGTACAGGGAACTTTTAGACGTTGTTGACTAGCCTCTCGTTCCAATGATAATGCCTGAGCCCAAACGCATTCTCACGCTGCATACACATATCAGATGACTCTAAGTATCAAGTCAGTAGCTAATGCAATTAGATCAGAACTCAGTGCTTATTGATGGCTGCGGAAAATTGCTTTGCTAAACAGGTTCCTACCAGATTCATGAAGATTGAGTAATGGTTGACTGAGATTTTGCTAGACCCAGAGTCTCAAAAATGTTCACAATGTGGGTTTCATGATAATATAGCTTTGACCACATTGAGTACACTGCTTTGATGTTGCAATTGTCAGATGGAATGACAAGCAGTATAATAATATTTTACAACAGAGTAGCTTGAATGATGGAGAGCCAGCATTAAAACAGGCAGTGAACATCACGTCAAAACCACCACCATATACACCTTCCTTTAGCGTATATAGTAGTATTTTTAGTGTGTAAGCCTGTGTATTGTTAGCATAGGTTTTGTATGAATCTGCTACTTGTATTATTCTCTTTCAGGAAACATGTTCTAGCCATTTTCTTGAGCAAGGATCTATAGAGCATCCGTCAACATATGGTAATGAGTTTTGTTCAAATGCGAAAATTTCTTACTGCAACTCTTTAGCCACTTCCAGACTTGTCCTGTAGAGCAGTTTCTTCAAGTGTAAATAACCAAGTATTATTACTTTTTCCTCCATGCTTTCTCGAAACTAGTGCATTGCTTCATTTTTAAGGAACAGTTCCAGCTTTTACACACAGTAACTTTCTTCGGTACGACCCTGGTGAAGTCATGCACTGCTAACATGCTTGAAACATGCTTAAATGAGCCTGGCAATCAAGGCCTAAAGAAACCACTTTTACGAAAATATTGACACCCATCCACTACACAGAATGTTAGTTACGTGTTTTGGAGGCACTTCCACTACGTAGTGCATCCATCACTTGTCTTTATTTGCCCTTTTATTGGGAGAGCAGAGCGACTACAGAAGTATAGACTCATACCAATATTGCTTGAAGTTGTTTATTGATCACAGTTTATTATGTGACACTATGGATGGTTCTGTCTTTTGACAGAAGCTTATACCTCAAGCGTAATATTGCCTCTTTCAAACTTCATGTCGTGGTGTGTCTTATGAAGTGTACAAAGTATACTAGATGAATGCAGTGTGAACAATGCAAGCAGTTTACTTCCATGTGTTTCATGCGTATTTAGAATGGCATAACAGTGCACATCCCATGGAAAATACAGATGACTATGTTGGCTAGCTTTGCTTGCCAATGAACTTGCCTGATAAGGTTGCATACCATTAATTCACTAGTCATGTTTCCTGTGTGATTTGACCAACACTTTGAAAAGTATGACATATTTTGGTTTAAATTTTTGCAGGACTTTTTGCAACTGCTGCTGTTTCCAGTTTTCCTCCTCTGGTTTTAACGAGAGCTTTTGAAATTGAACAGAAACTACAACATTCATCCTATGTAAGTGGCTTTAAACCCCAAAGATTTTAAACTTGAAAGCCTCAGTGCTGGTATATGGCCATTTTCCTGCTCTAGCAGGTGATAACTGTGAGTGTGGCTTTGTTCCATTTGAAGCCCTAATCAAATCGCTAACCAGTGTGATGTGTGGAAATGCCCATGTTCCTGTGTCGTAAACAAGGCACTTTCTGTTGGTGGTCCCTTGTCATTCGACCTGCAGTTGGTGTAACTCTCCATGCCTCCTTGCCATCAGGTTGCTTCAAATATTGCTATCACCTCTTTAGGTCAATTTGGATTGTTCTCAATCTGGCTCTGATGCAATCAAGCTTGCTTCACTTCTCATCCAAACATCAGAAAATTCCAGCCTAAAAAATGTTGACCTGCAAAAATACTTTCATTATGCGGCTTTTCTATTCAGATGCTGTAGCAAGATATAGAAGGACATTGTATGTATGCAATATGTTGTATTAAAGCACATGCAATCTTGAAGTAAAGAAAGACCCGAACCCAAAAATACGTGCAGCAGTGAAAAAATGTGTACAACAGAGGTAATAAGTGCACATACAAAACAAATTGCTTAAAACTGTGCAAATACAAGCAAAAACGTGCCATGGTGAAAACGTGTATACGCAGGAAAAAGTATGGAAACGGACAAATACCCAGAAAAAATTGTAGAGCAGTGAAGGAGGTGTGAATGGGCATGGGACAGGAAGGAAAACGTGCCAAAAAACATGAAGCAGTAAGAAAAATGCGTGCAAACACAAAAACGTGTGCATGCAAAGGAAAATAACGTGAAGCAGTAGTGCGAATTGGCAGAAACAACCTGGAGCAGGGAAGAAAATGTGAAAAAACGTGAAGCAGTGAGAAAAACCTCCTCTAATGAAGAAAAGTGTGCAAAAAATCAAAAACACCCAAATATGGTGGAGAAATAACAAAGGGTGCGAATGGGCAGAAGGTTCGATGCAGTTGAGCCACAACGAACTAGAGTAAAAGTACCGTACACACCTTGTTCCCCTTGAGAATATGTTCATAGGGAAGGTTCAGTACAGTCGAACCACCCAGATCTGACCCCTGCACACTTTGTTTTCTCCGCACTAAAGTTATTCAAGAAGGTTCGAGGAGGTTCGATGCAGTCGAACCACTCCGAACTGAAGCATGGTCTGTAAAGAGTTGGACGCCTTGCTGGTGAAGTGAGAGCAGCACACGCCCCAGTGAATCCGTTCAGTGAAGGAGTCACTGAGGTAGTGTAGCTAATATGATAAAGTCATATGATTGGAAAGGCATAGCAGGTTTACTTAAGTATTGTAAAGAGAAGAGGAGTTGTGAATATGTTCGTAGAGAAGGTTCAGTACACTCGAACCAACCAGAACTCATGTGAATGGAAACGGAAAATTGGCGCACGCACTGAAGGGGGCGAAGAAGGGGAGGGTCTGAAGGGGGGGAAAAAGGGACAACACCAACCCACCCCAACAACCGCACCAAAAAAAACAAAAAAAAACAACAAAAACAAAAAAAAAAAAAAAAAACTAAAAAACAACAAAACAAAAAAAGAAAAAAAAAACAAAAAAAAAAAAAAACAAAAAAAAAACAAACAAAAGAAACAAAAAAAAACCCACACCTCCCCCCCCCCAACCCCCCACACCCCCACCACCCCACACCCCCCACACACCCCCCCCCCCCGCCTGCCGGGAACTGGGAATCTGCTGTGTAAACGTAGCAACGAAAGAGCGATACTAGTAAACACGGCTGTGTTTCGAACGAGCGGTTTCATTGAGTCGAGTGGGGTTAGGGGATAGAAATAGAAAATAGAGACATAGCGAAAGTGAAAGGCCATGGGTGAAAGTAGAAGCCCCGTTAGAGTTAATGGAGGGGGGGAGGAGCGCTGGGGGTGCGATATGCCCCCCCAGCCCGCCTTGCCACTTTCCCACGGCAATGCGACTTTTTATGTATCTATTGCCATTGTATGCCTCTAGTTCTATTTCATAGCTATAGTCGAGCCTACTGCCCATTCACACCCTTTGTTTGTATTTTTCTGTGCAAGTGCACACTTTTCTTCGTCTTAGAGCAGGTATATCTCACTTACGGACGGGGTTGTTTTGGCGCATTGGCACAGTTCTTCACTGAGCAAACGGCTGCTCCAGTCAATTCGCACGACTACTTGCCGTCAGAAAAAGATTTCACAAAGGGAAGCTGCTGCACTAAATGTAAGCGTCTTTAGTGGCTCTGACTATTGCTTGAAACAACGAAGCGTGACAGAAAGTGAGCATGCCCACGAGAAAAAATTCCCCAAAACATCAAAAATATGCAGGGTAAACGGTGGAGCAGTGAAAAAAAAGGTGGTGAAAGCGAATCACAAAGTTGAGAAAAATGGCCAAAGGACCAATAGTGTGGAACAGATGCTCTGTTACGTGTTCATGAAAAAGTGTCCTAAAAAAACTGAGCAAATTCTGTTGCCCTGACGAAGAACGTGGTTATGCGCGACCATAAATCCACCACCCTGCAAATCCTCCGCGCCACCCGTGGAGCCGTGACAAAACCCCCGGTGAAGGAGCACCGGC